GTGCAGGGCGGCGCTGCTGCCCCTCTGGCCGCCCAGAGGCGGGTGGCAGGCTCGAGCCTGGCTGGAGGAGCGGGCAGTTCGCTGTGGTAGCGGAAGGAGCGGCTCCACGCTGGGGCAGAACGGTAAGCGGGGGCTCCTGACGGGCGCAGGCAGCTCTAAAGCGGGCGCCCTCACCCTCCGCCAGCCCCCTCTCCGCGACCGGGCCACGCCGCAGGTCTTCCCGCTGTAGCGATGAGGATGTTGAGGTCGCAGGCGAGCAGTTTCAGCCCCAAAGGGCTTGCTGACGTCATCCCTGCCCTACTTATCACAGGCTGCCTTGTCTACAGTAAACTACTCCGGCAGAACAGTTCAGTGGGGTTTATTGCTACAGCCATATTTTTTCCTCTGTCCAGCTTGAAATATGTAATTACCGACATTCATTGTGAAGCTGATCCGTGTACGTTATGGGCAGCCCACTGGGGGTGAGATCAGGCTGTCAGGAGAAGGGCACCATCAGTGCTTTATGGATCCCGAGTTAACTTCTCCGCCTGGAGTACATGTTAAGCTGTCTGCCGTGGTAGACCTAGGAGAAAATGAGTGAAATTGTAGGTTTCCTTTCTGCTACTGATGAGGCTGTTTCTGCTGAAACATATTATTCAAGTTCTTGTACATGTCTGTAGAGCCACACGAGTCCCGTAAAACCAGGTAAAGATTATCATGGAGCATCATGATTTTGACAAGGTACAATTTCACATATTTCAAAAATAAGGCAGAAGGGTGAGGAGAAATGAAGGAATACATAGATAAACCCATTCCCAGGATGAAAATAATATATTCTTGTTTATATTCAGTGTTCTGGAAGGCAAGGTTAGCCTTTGGGATTGTTTTTAATTACACTGATGTAAAAATGTGTTTGGGCATGCCAAACTTTTATAGTCCTTAATGAGTTTATTGCATATAATAATTACAGGCTCGGTAATTAAAACTTAAAAAATACTGCTATTTTATTTAATATAAATGATAAATCAAAGATTTCATTTGACTTTTTATAAGTTAAAACTAGGATGTGTTAGAAACATCAATCAAGTTTCATATAATGGTAATTGTATGTTAGGCTTCAAGTACAGGAGTTGCGTGTGTGTGAAAGCCTTTGACATGTCAAAAATATTGGCTAAGAGCAGAATTTCTTTTTTTTTTTTTTTTTTTTCTTTTTAGGGCCGCTCCTGTTAGAAACAAGAGACAACAGCAGTTTCTGCAGTTGTTTTACGCGATCATCAGATACACAGACATCAGCTCCAGGATCTTTCCTTAGCAGATTCTTCTAAGCCAAGGACAAGGAATACCAAGAACATTTACAAACCTATGAATAAAGAAGTGGTCAGAGCAGTAGTAGACCAAGAAAAAAGCACTTGCCACAAAACCAAGGAAGATGCAGGAAAGGAGTTTGTTCTTGATCCCAGTCCTCCACAGCTAATGTTAGGTAAACCATTATATTCTTATTTGTGAATTTTTGTTTTTATTTAAAATAAACTAAAATGAGAAAGCTAAGCTTTCTGTCCAATAAGATAATTTAATGCTAAACAACATAAAATCTTGTTTAAAATTTGTCAAAATTCATCAGTTCAGGCCATCAGGTAAACAATGGAATTACCATCAGTGGCTTGAATATGTCTTCATATCTAAAATGTAATACAAAAAAATATTATCCTTGTGGCAGTGAAGGTAAAAATGAGGAAGCTAGTGCAGCCTGATGAAGAATTCTTCATTAAGAGGCAGTAAGTCTCTTACACTTTTTTAAAAATGTTTTGTATATTGATTACCATAACTTTCTTCACCTTATACTCTGAAGCAAACATCAATGATTTTGATATTGTATTTATTGGGGGAATGTTTTAGTATTAAGATTTTTTTTTTAAGTCTATTTGAAATGGTTTGGTTTATTCCTTATTCAGTAAAAAGACATTTACTAGTGCTGCATTAAGTATATTCTTTGTTACTATATACCCACCTTTACTCAAAGTTAAAAAGATTTGCTTTTACAATGGTCCTGGGGCTAAACCCAGGAAGAATTAACACCTGTAGTTAAATACTTTTTTCAAATTTAGAAGCAAGCATGCAACAAGATAAAAGTCACAGATGTGAGGGCTTGGAATGATGCCTGGTGAGAAAACTCACTTTTAAATAGTAGTATAATAATACAGTTGTACAGCAGCGACAGACAGTATAGCTTAAAAAAACAAAGCCAGGTAGCATCTTAACAGACCAGGAGTCCAAATGTGCTTCCCGCCTATCAGTTTCGGTCTTGTATTTCCTTTTTCTGAAGGTTTCTACAGTATTCTTGCCACGAACATCTTGTCTCCATCCTCCCGCTTGTCACGATTAGGCATTTCTTAAAGGACCTTCCGGCTCTACAATTTGCAGTTTTAAGCATAATAAACTTTCATCATCATTAATAATTGTTTTATTTGCTCTTTTTCATAAAAATGCCCTTAGGCCTCTCTGAAGATCATGTTGCCTTTGCCACAGTAACTGTCACAGTAGCCTCAGCTCTAAAGAGAACCATGTAAATCAGTGAGGCTCCATACAAGCACAGGCATCTGCCTTTTGGAATCAGCTGAAGGTTAAGAGGGTAACTTAAGATAATACACAACAAGTGAGTGTAACAAGTGATAGGACAAAGGTAGTAAGACAAGGTGATTATTAGTATGTTTACATGGGTTATAGTTCTAAAGATGGGAGGGTTTTTCCTTTGGTTCGAAGAGGAATTTGAAAGAAGAGAGGATAGTGGAGGGAAAACAACAGCAGAGAGGTACTGGGGTTAACACAAATATAAATAATGAGTGATTATGGAAGCTAAAGGTTGTGGTGAAAAAATGCAGCCCAAGTGTGAGCATGTTCTCAGCAATTATAAGAAAAACAAAGTGTTTTCTCCTTAAATCACAGCATTGACTGAAATGTCCCATATGAATGCTTGTGCAAGTGATTCAGAAGAACGTGCTGAAAGATTTTTTTAAATTGCCATTATTTCTGGGTTTTGCTTATTAGTATCTTCACCTATAGTCTCACATTATTTTAAAATGCTTGTGTCAAACTTTCTCTTCTTAATAAGGATTGTGTGGTTTAAACATTACAGCTGTGAAACAACTTTGAAATTGTAATTTAATGCAACTTTTTCTTCATGAGTTTGTGGGTAATCAAACAAAATCACAGGCCTCTATCATTAAATTTTTCTTAATAGGGACTTGGGTCCTAAAATCAGATAATAATAGTTTAAAGGTTAATGTATGTAATCACTTTGCTAGTGTTCAATTTAGGATAAATAACTCACTTGGCTGTAAATGGGTGTGTCAGTAAATGGGTTGGGCTTGTAATCTTGGTGCATAAGGTTGAAAACTCTTGGATGTCTTGAGCTGTGATTTCTTGTATTTATTCAAGCTTGATTGCTTGTATTTATTCAAAGTGCTGCTTTGAGATATCTTTATAGAGCCTTTTGCTTCAACCACATATCCCTTCTTGTGTGTCCTGCTGCCAGTTTTCCTTCATCAACTATGTTGTATAAAAGCTTTCCTTCTAAACACTTGTATAACCTGTCCCTCACAAATATCCCATCTGGTTTATATTATTTAGAAGTTAGGTTTTGCCGCCAATCTCTTCCTATTTCACAGCTTTCATCATCCATTTGTGAAAGTTTTAAATAAGTATTTTTTCTTACCCTGGGAGTATCCAAAAGGCTTTCCACAAAGCCATCTCATTGTCTTCCTTAAAACAGTCTCTGACCACAGTGCTTGGAAGAAAATCAAGGGCAGGCATTTTTTATGTTAAGATACTGTCTTTCATGCTGTGACTGGTTTGATGCCTTGTTCCCTCCTTGTGTATCCAGATTTTCTCATCATGAAGACCATTGCTTGTGTATATTGGACTATCAAAACAGGATCTTGTTTCCTTACTCATTAACTGATAACTCTTGGGTATTATTGTCAGATGAAACTTTATATATGTTTTTACTGAAACTTTTATGATGTATTTTATAACTTGATTCTTCCTTTGTAGCAGAAATGATGATCTGTGCAATATATGCTCTTCAGGAGTTGAATGGTCAAGAGGGAAAGCACTCCTGGTTAGGAAAACTTCCTTGCCACTCAGCTACCAATTTCAGCAATTCATGTGTAAGCTTTAAGCAAAATACATCTTCTGAACTAGTTTTTAGGCTCTAAAAACTTTGCAGAATCCTTCATATTTCTTTTAAAGCTCATATTATTTTTCACCATCAAGAGCACCAGATAAAAGCATTTTACTGCACCAGAATTGATAGGCGTTATTTTATGTTAATACAGTGTATATTTTACATTCTTAAATTACAATGCCATAAATACACACATATGTACTTTGCTGCTTGACACAGAGTGGTTTGAATTGTAGCCCATAGCCTGCAGGCAGAGCTGTGAGCTCCTGCACGTGTGGAGGTGCTGTGTTTGTGTCTGGGTGTCGAGTTGTCCAGGAACTGAGAGAGCGTGCCTCTAATACAATTCATATGTGACCACCAATGTAATCTGCAGCATTCATTGATTCAGATTTTCTTTCGATACTTAGGTTTACATGCATTGCTTACCTTTGACTCGATACCTTTACAACAGTAATGAAAGTAATGAGATGAGGTCTGTGTGAACTAAACCATATGTAGGGAGAGCACTTCCCACATTGTTCCAAAAGCATAAACTGACCCAGCTTGAAATCTCAAAGCCATCCTGTTATTCTAAGATATGTTCTAAATCTAATCAAATTGATTTACGTTTGAAGGATGTCATGAGCTCACAAGGAAGTAGGTTAGGCAGATAGTTCAACTAAAGGGAAGAAAGTAATTTCTTTAGTACCTCACAAAAGTTCTTTAAAAAGATCAAAGGCAGTTTTGTGCAAATTTTAAATGATTAATGATATACATCTGTAGATGGATGAGCTGCAGAGCAGAATTTCTGTCTCAAAAATTAACAAATCCTACCCTAGAAGAATGAGATACTTGCTCAAGTGGATCACCAAAATCCAGTTCTTTGGTTCATTAGGATTCCTTTTCTCTTCACAACTGACTAGTATAATGGGTTTGAATACACAAGCTATCTGATGGGGTTTTGAAAGATTATACAAAACAAATAAGTGCTGCTTATTAATGTCTATTTATGCAAAGATTTCAATCTGAGTGAAAGAGTTGACCCTTTCCTTTCCATTTAGAGCTAAACCTCTCATCTAGGGGTTATCAGCTTGCATTCAGACTATTGCTTGTCCCGCTTCCTTTCTTGTTTTAGCAAATACCACTGAGGCCTCATCATGGACTCATGTTACTGACGTATTACACATGCCTTGGGCATTCCTCCACTGACTTTGGACAGTCCACACAAGATGCTTCCTCTGATCTTCAAAGATGACAAACACCTGCTCTTTGCTGTACCTACTAGCATCTTTTTACTACTGACACTGGACTTTATCTGCCATTTGTGGGGGAAGGGGAGAATAGTGTAAGTATTTTCACTGATTCCTTCTTTGAGAAGGCAGAGATTTCATATGGACATGCAGCAAGGCTCCGCACCTCTCATCTGAGATCAACAAGCTTGGCTATCACAGTGACACTATCACTGGTGTCTTGTGACCATCTTTTTGCTTCTTTATTTCTCTTGAATCTGTCACGCTCTCATTACACTTCAATATTTTGTGCCAGCAACAGTTTTTTATTATACCACTTCATTCATTTTTATTTTAAGGATACAAAAACGCAATGTTGATGAATCCTTCCTAAATGAATTCTAACAGATTTAGTTTATACTGATGATTTGAAATTATGTTATTGAGCGTTGTTACATTGTCTAGTTAATAATCCCCATTTTAATGGCTGTGAGAAGCTATCAAAATAAATTAATATTACTTGGCAAATAAAAGTTCACATTTAAAAAAATTCCTGTATAAATCCTGTATGTAAAAGAGGTTCTGACAATTACTGAATAGCAAATTACTCGTAAGTATGGTGCCTGCTAGTGGTTTGTCTGAGCATAGATTTATATGAAGTATCTGTGTAAAGTATTTTTAAATAAGTGTGTGATCAATGAATTTCACATGAAGAAAATCAATTGTCTGTATCTGCTAGTGAGTTTTATTCAGTGGTTTGTTGTTATTGTCTACAGCTCAGAAATTAAGCTTAGTTGAGCTTCCTTCCTTGCCAGTAGCTGCTGAAGAACGGTTGTAAAAGTAAAGCAGAGATCCATACAGCGTGGAGACACCATACGGCCTTGTGCAATATGCAGGGAAGAATTTGCACTTCAGCCTCAAGTACCTGTAAAACTGTGTAGTTGTGTGGACTAGACAACTGTATTTAACTTTTTTTTTGGTAGAGTTACTGCTAAATCCATTAGCTGGGAGAATAAGGGAAAGATTCTACTGTAAGAAACCATTTAGCATTTAATAGCTGGACCCAGCTATCAGTGGCCGACTCTGAAAGTATTTTGGTCTTGACATGGTAGAGAAGGGTTGGTAGTGTTTGTTCAGTTCTGAAGTTCTGACAATAGAAGAGAAGGCAATCAGCCTTTTTATCTGTTCTTGCAAAGCAGGTGTAGGCTATTTTCTGCTTCATTTAAACTCCTCTTAGATACAATCCTAGCCTTCATTCATCATAATGGTAAATATTCACTAATTATACAATTTAAGATATATTTTGTTTTTCACAAGTTTTATCAATTGCAGTTTAGTTCAATAGTTATGTCTATTTGGAAAACGGAAGTAGATGTACTCCTAATGCCAGTCAGTCGCCTCCTTAGGTTATATGACGAAATGCTTGCATTTTACCTCAAAGGCTTTAGTCAGTGCATGTGTGTAGCATAAGCATAAATACATCATGCTTTATTAGATTGTCATCTATCATCTTGAAAATATTAAGCAAAAGGGACAAGTGACTGACTGAAGAGGAGTGCTGCTTCAGAGAGGTGATGACGGTAATTAGAAGAATTATCCCAACAGCTTGCAAATTTTTTTCTGCGGTGCATTTTAGGGTGTTTTTTTCTGCTTGTTCTCCCTCTTAATTTTTCTTGAGGACTTTTTACAGCCAAGTCTGTGATGTGAATCAAGGTTTTTTAATAACCTTCGATACAGGGCTTTTGCTTCCTTTTACATCAGTGTTAACTGAAGATGTACAATTGTCCACAGACAGGTGGGATGGATCTGGCAAAAGACCATTCTGCCAATTTCTGGCTACCCTGAAAGTCTAAAGCTTGACAAGAGAGCGCAAAAGACAGCACTCATTAAAGAGGTTACTTTAGATTTGGCACAAAAAGGGAAATGCCTGTGGAATTCTTTTTGTCCTCAGTGTTTCGTTAGCTTTCCTCCCTCAAGGGAAAAAAGCCACTGTATCTGAAAGCTTTCCCTTCAGCTGGCTGCTAGCCATTAATCCTTTTGTGTTTGCCAGCTCAATAGTGCACACTACTTGTTCTGGTTTTCACTCCTTTCCCAGTTTTTCCTTCCTCTAAGAGCCAACTGCCTTTTTTGTCCAACTCTATATCTTTTGTCAGGATGGAGATCATCAGCATTTGGTGGGAATTTAGGTCAGATAAAGGTGAAGTTTTCTTGTAGCCTGTGAACATGCTTTCTCTTTTGTTTTTTTGTATGTGTGAAATGCTGCATTTGATGTATATCACTTCTTGAAATTTAACGTCTCTGTGGGGAAAAGGGAAGAAAATAAATCAGCTTTCATTTTAAGTACTTGTTTTATAATCTCTTCCTCCAGTCAGTAGCAGTAGGCATTTCTTGTTTTCTGCTACTCCGTGTATTGTTAACACAAAATTCACATATTGGTTTAAGATTTAATGTATCAAGTAATTTTTATAGAAAACTAATTTTATTTTCACTAGAAAGACTTTAGTAGTAACAGAGAGAAACTGATGACCTTTCAGGCACTCAGAATTTTACTTGTCAGCATTTTTTACTTTTCAGCTTTTAGAATGTTTTAGTCAGGTCTGGTTGGGTGTTTTTTTCCTTTGAAAAACAGGTGCTGCTTTCATGTTCTCATGTATTCTATGAAGTGAGTACATTTTTATATAACTATTCAAGCATATAATACATGAGTATTTTAAACTACTTAAGTGAATATCTTAATGAATTAAATGTAATCATCTTGAAAAGTAAATCTGATTCAAGATTTTTATAGTAAGAAATACAATTTAAGACTATTCTATGATGAAGCACTTTATTTTATTACCATTTTTAAAACCATATGGGAAAACATCATTTGTAACTGAGCTATACATTGTATACTAAGCAGGAATAGTTTAATTCATGAAGTTTCATGCAAATATATGAAGATTTACAAAATTCTCTTAACATTTTATTTATAAAAATACGCATCTTTTAGAGTGTTCATGGATTGATGAATAGAAAATCTTTACATTCTGTAGTCTATACTGTTTCGTCGGTTCCAATGATATGAAATATATTACACATAATTGAAGTTATTTTTTCAGACATGCTTGAAAGCCTTTGAAAAATTTACAGGTAAAAGTCTTGTCCTATGTGTAGAACAGAGCAGTATCTGACCAGAGTAATACATGATGGGGCACGCTTGTTTAAAATGAAGTGTACTAGGGAAGCCTTACTTCTGCTACAGGTGTTATCACTGGAAAATATTTCTTTCTAAATAATGTTCCAAATGTGTTATAACTTTAATATAATAAGAAACTAGACAGAATGAATGCACTACAAAAGTTAAAAAAAAATGCATAAAATGTTTGTTTCATATAAATAGTAAAATTATATAAAATTGAGTTTCCTATTCTTGAGCAAAATTGTGTCTTACAGAACTCTAGCTTCCTGGAGGGGATATATTGTTAGAAAATGGTATAAAACCGAGAAAATCAGTGTGTCCTAAAGATAGCAAATTAAGAAAGCAATTCTTTAAGGGTGATGTTGCATTTGCTTTTGTCTGTTTCTTGGTCTGATTCAAGTCCCTTAAATCAAAACTCCTGAATATCACCTCTCTACCTTTTCATTTATTCCTTCTTATTCATATCAGGCAGCACTGGAGGCACTCGGTTACTTGTTAGTCTGTTCATTCTATCCTCTTTACAACGCAGAAGTAAGGAAAATAATTCAAATATTTAATTTGAAGGCCTGCTTTTTGCCTAGGCCAACAATAGTGGGCTTTTTGTGAGGCTCTGTATTTCCCTTTTCTTTTTGATAAATCACAGTAATCTGTTTTCATATAGAATTATATGAAGGGGGTATATTGAGGGGAGAAACAAATCCATAACCAATCATAACTTCTTTTCACTGTCATCCTTCTCTTGCTGGACACTGAACTGGATAGTTCCATTCCATAGCTTTGCCCCTCTCTAACTTCTGCTCAGACACGTCAGACTGTAATAAATTAGGGTCCTGACCCCCTGCAAATGAGGCCAGATCAGGTGCAAGCATTTTGCCATGACCCTGCTTGCCTTTAAGCACACAGCTGTTGCAGAGTCCTGTGCAATCCTCAAGTCCTCCTTTGCCAACTTTGTCTATCCCCAGTTTAGTAACAGCCAGCCTAGCTCAGCTTTTCAGTAACAAAAATTGTTTTAACACATCCTCAGCAATTACCAAACCGTCCCTCAAGGAGTGAGAGAAGTCATCTTCTAGTCCACATCTCCAACAGCCTGGTTAACAGAGATTACAAAACCACACAAGAAGCCATTTAAATGTAGCTAGTGTGTGCAACCAGGAAAATACTCTTACCTAAGTTGCAAGCTAAATCAGTGGTAGGTTGAAACCAATACTTAAATCGGTTGTTTGGGTTGTTTTTTTTTTTTTTTAAATCACTGCTTTTGTGAAACAGAAGAGTGCTTGCAGAAGGCTTGTTACTGTCTGTCACTATTTCTCATGTTTACCTGGTTGTATCCTGTTGGAAGAGAGCTTTGGAGGCAAAAAACCTCACTTGCTATATTATGCATTTATGTGTGGCAGTGAGATTGGTACCCTAGAGGTAGGTGATCTGGCAGTCTGATGTAATAAAACTGGTACCACTGTTCTGCCTCTGTGGTAACAGTGGCAGGGGAGAAAGAAGAAGTACTGTTCTCTGCCTTAACACTGAGACAGCTTGCTGGTTGCTATGCTACCTTTGTAGTCAGTGCGAAGTACTTCCCTGTAACAGAAAATGAATATGGAGGTAACTAAAGAAAGCTAATGTTATATTTGAAAGTGCTCAAACATTTAAGTTTGGAAGAAGTGAATCTTTCTATGGACTGTGACAATCTTCAAGTAACATGAGTAGAACAGACAACAGAAACAGATTTTTCTGGATGAAAGACCAGGGAAACAGTTGTATGCTTCTTTCCCAATAAGGCTGTCAGTTTTCCAGGGGCTCAAGGTACCATGCTTAGCTATAAACAGGGTCTCAGTAAAGTTGAAGAAGGCTTCTGAATATGCTGAAAGTTGCAGATGACTGTCATTTTTAAAATTTCTGTCACCAAACTTCAGATGGCTGCAGTAGAAGTCTACCAAGCTACCTACAATGGGCTAGCTTTTAGGGCCACCATCTTAGATACCTGCTTTAGGGAGAAACAGCCCGATAGACTGCCCACATTTCATCAAGTGATTATAAGCTGTGGGAAGGTCTTCATTTAACATCATTTCTATATATAGTCCACAGCATTACGAAATCATTCTCATATCAGAATTTTGCAGGGAACAAAATGGGCACTACTTTTTTACCTTATAAATTTATCCTTATAAATATAAATAAGGATAAATTTATAAAGTCTCCCCATATGGATTAGCCAGGTTTAAATGAATTTAATACCAACTGTGGTTAAAGGATATATACTTATTTTTCTTAGCAGCTTTCAAGTGGGAATTGTAGATTAGTTTTCCTGCTGTTTGCTCTTATACTTTTAAGTGTTGGTTAGTGAAATCACTAAAGACATTTTTCACAAGGAGCTATCCATTTCCAGATGCTAAAAAGCTTGTCTAAAATAAATTTTGCCTCTCAAACTTTTGTCATGCTTTTAAAATGTCACTCTCTAAACATTAGCATAATCAAATTGCATCACAATTGGAAAAAATATTAATTTTTAATAATCCTAACTCCTCTGGAAGGATCATAAAGGTTAAATGTCAAGTTTCATATGCTTAAACAAATACCACAAAATGAAAAACAAGGTCTGAAATACTAATACTAGGAAGGAGCCATACTACTTGTTTCAGGGTACTACAGTAGCCTTTATTACACCTTTCATTAAAATTTTTAATCTAGATCAAAGGAGATAAGAAAGGTCACTGAAGCTAAAGCAGGCTACTTTGTAGCACTACTATACACAGAAAGCAGGGTGTTGCTTCAGCATGTTAGGTAGTGAATTTCTTTGATCCTACCTATAAATGTCACTTCTGTATGTCATTTAATTGTGGTATAGTCTTTTATTGGTGCAATTAAATCTTTTCAAATGCATTACATTATCTCCAGCTTTGCTAAAAATCTTGCCATTGTTTAGGAAGCAAGGTAAGTAATTGTGAAATGATGTAGTTGACTTTAGTTTCTTCCTCCCCCTACACATGATTTCTCCCAACGATTTTAATTTAAATCTCACCAAACAGTATAATGGTCCTGGAATTTGTTTAGTCGTTTGACTTCCTTTATCACATGGAGATGGTAAACATTCTGTTGCTAACTTGAAGTGGCTCCAAGCAGCAAAACTAGGAGGATATTAAACCCGTAAAAGCTTATCAACTGATTCATTGATATGCTGTAAATTCCAGCCTTTTCATTTTACTTTTGAGGGTTGCCATAAGTCAACACATTAGTAAGCAATTTGCTGACATTGGATCACTTTAAAAGGCTTCCCAGTGGACAAAGTTCACCTCGGTGCTTTGTTTCATCGTTTTATTTTATCATAGTCTTGTGCTGCTGTACAGATGACTGATGTAGTTTTGCATACCGATAGAGTATTTCAGATATTCAGTTTATGCCATTCTAGTCAAGTTTTAAGAAGTCACAGACGTAAAATACAGAGGTACGGTGTTTTCAGAAATAAATTCAATTACTCAGTTTCAGCTGCTCTAGGAAAAAAAAGATTATTCAGCATTATACATTAAAACACAGCAGGATTTAACATTTAAATCCTGGAACATGTTAACACTAATAAATTATACAAAATGCTTATTTCCTTTCTGTTCACCTTGATAGTTCAAACTGATTTCCCAGTTTACGAAAAATTTTGGGTTGAATTTCAGTTACATTTTTATCTTTCCAACCCTAGACTTTATTTGCTGATTGACAGATATGAGTTGGGTCAGGTCATACTGCAGGAGTAGCTCAAAGCAGATAGTATCTTAGCAGCAGGGGAACTTAATAGATCATTGTCTCAGGCAGGAGAAGAGCTTTCCTCTCACTTTTATAGTTTCTGCTCAAGGAGGCTCCTGAGAGGACTTTCGGGTTCACTTAGTGAAATGGGGTGAAAGCTCAGGGAAGAAATGGAGGGCTTTTTCCTTCTGAGGGAAGAAGGCACAAGCAGCCCAGAGACAGACAGAAAGGGGGCATTGCTGGCTTATTGCAAGCCCAGCCCCTCTCTGCCCCCTGCTTTCAGCTCTACTTCTTGGCTAGTTTTCCTCAGCAGCCTATCTAGTCATAGAGTAGTTCAGAAAGACAGGCCAGGTCCTGCAGCTGACCACACAGTGTCTGTGTTGCTCTCACGTTCACAGAAATAGACACTGGATAAGGGCAGAATTAAAATGCAGTTGCCTTTCCTCAAATTTTGGGTTGTAAGAGGCTATTGGAAATCAGTGTTGTGCTTGCTCTAGCTTTCTATTACATCCCTCTAGCTTTCTTATGAAAACAGTTCAGGTCTGTTTGAGTTTGATACCAATGTAAGTGAAGATCAAGCATAAATCAGAACCAAAAGTGTTTTCAAATGGATCAAACTTTACTTGACGTTGAACAGAAACCATGAATTATGTCATGTTTAGGTGTAATCTCAGCCTGTTCTTCATGCAGTCAGATTTTAAAATGAAATCAGTAAGAGCAGCTGGAATTGCAGTGTAGAATAGATTCAGTTCTAGAACCTAGGTAATAACAGTTCAGATAAAACATACTAGGACTGTTATTGATTAATTAAATACATCATCCCATTAAAATATTGAAGACATAACCTGATTAAAGTGTACTGCATTAGTATTTCATGTCTCATTCAGGAAGCCCACAGTGTCATCGTTTGGGATTGTTTGGAGACCACCAAGTGTAAATATTGAAGGAGACCTGTGGTGGGATCCTTTTTTGGGTTTTTTTATGTTTTACACATACCACTGAAGGTCAGTGTACATGTTTGTATGGGATAGGATCAGATTTTTTTTTTTTTCTTGTCAGTGAACAGCCATGAGAAGAGCACAAGATTACCCATCTGCTTTCTGCTAGACATAGAATTCTCTCACAGAGTACATAAGGGGCTGCTGCTTTTCCTAGCACATTGTGATTTAAATATATACACTGTACAAGGGGGCTTGGGGATTTTTTTTTTTCTTCTTTTTAGCTATGTTAGTTAATGATGATGTATCACAAGGTAACTAAATCCAGTTTGTACTGACAAATGGATACATCCTTTCCATATACTGTTGTGTTAGAGATCATGTGGAAATACAGTCAGTCATAATGGGTCTCAGCAGTGAATCAGACCTTAAAAAAAAAAAAAAAAGGAATACACAGGATGAAATCTAACATCGAGAAGCAAACAACTTGCCTTACAGTAAGGTTTTCACCATTTCCCTTACCTGGACACTTCTAATGTTTGTCTCAAGTCTTTATTGAGAAAATTATGGGTTTCACCGAAAGACACTTACATACTTGCACATTTATTTTTTTTTTTTTAAATAACGACATTAACCAGTGAGTTTTTCATAGTTTTAGAAGGAAATTTAGGAAACCCAAAGTTTAAATGAAACCTGAGAATGTTAAACAAGCTTTTCAGATAGTTTTTGTGGGATTTGGGCTCTCAATTTCTTGGAGTCTAGGAAAGCTCACTTTGAATATTCTGAGATGCTATGAAGGGTCACTTTAGCAGTTGTAGGGGAGCACATGTCCTGGTAAAGAAAAGCTACCCCAAAAAAGTGAAATGAAACAATAGGAAAGTGTTCAGGTACCACCAGGCTGTCTGACCTTGACAACACTTCTGCCACCTCACCTCCTCCTTCCTATCCCACCCTCCCTGACAAGACAGCTCTCTGTTTTCCTATCAAGTTTTCATTCACAGGAAGTGCATGGAGAGAAGGGCTCACATTGCATGGTCATGGTACAGGTGTTGAAATGTTCCTTAAAGCTGCTGAAAGCATGTACAAGCAGAATCACAAAAGACAAGTCGAAATTTGTGTGACTCCTTACAGAACCTTCAGCTATTGAGGTAACAATGAAAGCAGCCACAGTGAGTTAGAATTGCACTCCAGCAGGTGATTAAGGAAAGCATTCATTGCTTTTAGGTATTTATTTTGCTGAGTGCAGATGGGAGCATCTTCAGATATGACCACCAGAGGCCTGTGTGCAATAGGCAGAAACATTTAAGACAGTAGGTCATAGAAGTCTGTACCAATGACAACACCTCTTCTCACACTGGTTATCATTGCCTTTAACTAACCCCACAACAGGTGCACTGGTTTCCCTTCAAATAACCAATGCTCAGCTAAGTTCTGGACTTCTTTTCTCAAACACAGCTGTACCTTCTGTGCTGCATCATCTGGGTTAAGAATAATACATCTATCTTGGGAAAGTTCAGCTATGAAAATCCTGTGTTTTCTCTGAAGGATAATGGCCCGTCTGGGGACCTGATGCTTCTCACCTCTAAATCAACACTAGACACCAGCTGCAAATTGGAACAAGATTCTATAGATCATGCAACGGATCAGGCTGCCTTGTCCAATCACTCACAATTCATTCACATATGAACTACCAGTAAGTTAACTCCAAATCTAACAACAGTCAATTTTATTTTCAGATTCAATAGATCAGCAATCAACTATTGAGTTCTTAGGACATCAATCTAGCTGAATTTTTTTCTGAGGTGGATTCTTCTATAGCTGCAAGTTAAGATGTGTTTCAGAACTTGGAAGGAAAAGAATTATTATTAAGTGAAACTGACTGGGAGAAGATACAGATGCAGGTAGGTTAGCTTTTTTTTTTTTTAAAGTTGTTTTGTATTTATAAGCTTTTATGCTCTTTTGCGGCATGACAGTCTTTTCAGAAAGCACAATTGAGTGGTGTTTTCTTAAATTTTGGTCCATCTGTTCCAAATCAGAAATATTTAAAAGTTTTTACACTTCAGAGGTTTACCTTAGCAGCATCTCTCTTCCACTCAGTTAAAAGCCCAAAGAGGCTGTGAAAAAATTGAGACTGAAAATGTTAATAGTTTCTCAAAATACATTACAGTCATAAAATTTGAGCTTTTGAATTAGCATATTGCTGATATTATTTACCTCCCATTGTTTCACTACAGGTTGATTTATTTTTATTCAAGCATGTTAACAAGAGATATTTGACTGTCCTATCTGTATTATGCTACTCAGTCCTACAGTTGTTCCTGCCTGTGTCTTTTCTGGTAACAGCAATCAGTTTTCAAGACAGACTTCTACTTTCTTGTTCCACATTATTGTTCATATTTGTTTTATCATACCTGTCTTCAAGCATTTGCAGAGTTTTCCTTGGGAGAGTGACATATTTGTCCTTTATTTCACTCATTATCAAAAGAAAATCCTCAACTGTTGATACATGTTGAGGAGCGGCTGAGGGAACTGGGGTTTAGTCTGGAGGAGACTGAGGGGACACATCATCGCCCTCTACAGCTACCTGAAAGAAGGTTGCAGAGAGCTGGGGATGAGTCTCTTTAACCAAGTAACAAGTGATAGAACAAGAGGGAATGGCCTCAAGTTGTGCCAGGGAAGGTTTAGACTGGATATTAGGAAGCATTTCTTTCCAGAACGGGTTGTTGGGCGTTGGAATGGGCTGCCCAGGGAGGTGGTGGAGTCCCCATCCCTGGAGGTGTTTAAGAGTCAGTTGACACAGCACTGAGGGATCTGGTGTAGTTGGGAACTGTCAGTGTTAATGGTTGGACTGGATGATCTTCAAGGTCTTTTCCAACCTAGCTGATTCTGTGATTCTTTGTGATTCATATAGCTCCTAATGAACTACCTCATAGATCGTAGCTAACACCACATGTACTTCCAAATTTGGAAGCCTTTTCAGAGTCAGATCTTCCAAGAATAAATGATTTTGTATGGACAATGGCACTTGCCTTCTATTTAGTTAGAAGAGTGCTGTTGCTTCCCTTTTATACTCAGTTCCACCTTTGGTCTTCCAGCATTTTTATTCTTCCTCTCTCTGTCACTCCCACCCTCCTCCATTTTAATTTCCCTTTTTCAAAGATGAGACAGAGTTGTTTCAGGCATTGTGTTCATTCAGCAATACCCCACTCTTTCCCTCACCGTTTTTTTAACACCTGATAGGCTGCAGGTTCCTACTCACACGGACTGCCACTACTGCAGCTGGTAGCTGTAACAAGAAATTTCTCCTTTTCCTTTAGCCACGTTTACTAAGTAGAACCCTTGACTGCTGCTTCTCCTGGAATGACTCTGACCAGTTCCATAGCTGTACGTAGATAAAAGTGGCCCTCAAAGATGCATGATCATTTCAGAACTTCAGAGAACCTGGAACAGTAAGTACTGACCATTTTCAAGAGAAATAAAAACATGATTATGACTTCTCAGTTATGCATTGCTGAAACTAAGGTCACCACAGGTAATTTATGAGGACAAAGACAGAAATCGAAACTAAACCAAAGTGAAACAGCAATACATCAAGGTAAAAAGAAAATTTGTTTTGCATAAAAATGCAGTAACTGACCAACTACACAATTGATGGAGAGCTTCCAAATAATACCGACAAGATCAAACTGAGTCATGCATGAAGGTGGTCACCACAATAGTAGGTGTATGGATTTAATCTTAAGCTGGAAGTGGGAAAGGCTGTATTAGAGAATCATTACAGAAAAAGTGCTTTACAGATTGGTTGCTGATTGACTGGTTTTGGGCAGCCAGAAGGCTGTCTGCAGGACTTTCAGAGATGGTTGCAGGAACTTGTGGAGACTGTGTGACACTCTGAAGAACTAGAAATTAATAAACCTATCCTGAAATAGGGGAAGAGGGAAAAAATCCTGGGGAAATGCAAACATTAGTTTCACTTCATCTCCCAGAAAAACACTGGTACAAACTACTTCTAACGAACTACTATTTGACATGAGATTTGCCAAGAAGAGAATCATCAAGTCAATTCAGTTTGTTTCTCTAACAGGACACAGTCCTGCAGATGAAGTAGAAAAGTGTTATAAAAAATTAAAGTACAAAATATACAATGTTGGAATAACCCCATGTACAGTATGACTTGCATCTTATATATGTAGTAATATAGATATGTTCTGTAGAAAGGCATCTAGAAATATATTTGAGAACACAAGTTCAGTATGAATGAATGATGTTGCAAAAAAAAAAAAAACAAACAACCCAAAAACCACCAAAACCAACCCCAAAACAAAAGAGTACTGAAGACATGATGGAGTGTAAAGGCTCCAGCTTGGGGGTTTGCACATCTAGTTCCGAGCTCTGCATTTCTAGAAACACCTAAGGGTCCCCACAGGCAGCAAAAAGGATGATAGGAGGCCTATGTAAAGCACTGGAGGGAACTGGGGGTCACTTCTATTGAAGATAAAGGGAAATACAACCTTTCAGGTGTGGAAAAAGCTGGTGCAAGCAGAAATACTTGTCATACTGTAGACATCTGAGAACCAAAGCTTAAAGCATGGTAAGGGCTGTTCACATGTCTGACATTTAGGAAACCTTGGACAACTAAACACTGGAATATACTGCTTAGAGACAGCACAGGAATCGCATCGCAGACAGTCCCTGCCAGGCTGGTTAAATACCAGCAGTAACGTAGGTATGTTTGATCCTGTGCAGCTGAATGGATGAGACATCTCCAGGTCCCCTCCAGCCATGTGATTCTTGAACTTCCAAAACGTCCTAAAATCTCCGTGAAATGAAAAGTCTGAAGCTGTTTAAGTTTCAAACAACTTTGGAAACATGGTGGTCAGATTTTTAATACATATAAATTGCCCTTCAGTCAAACTATTACGCTATTGAAAATGAGTTATACTTTACATAATCAGCATCCTCTTCTATAAACAAACCCCACTTGCCTAGAGTGTTCCAATTAATTGTGCACCTGTCAAAGGCAGAGCTGTAATGCCTCTGAATGTACAGGAATCTCCATCACGTACCATATATCATGTATTTTAAATACCTGAGAATCTCCAAAGCATGTTAAACCAGGGGGAGAAAGGAAGAAAGAGGGAGGAATATAACTATTCACACCAGTTACAGGATAATTTAGAATGCCACAGAGATTGTTTAAAATAAGTTTTGCTTTTAAAAAAATGCAAAACTCCACTATGAATCACACTTTAACTTTATTGAAAACACAGTAAAAAAAAAAAAAAAATCTTCCTACAAAACATTCAGCGTAACATTTCAAGCAAAGGAAAAAACACATTATCACTGCTTTTCACAGAAAAAAAATCAACCTGGCTAAGGTGGCAAGTATTTTCATTTAGTTTTGTAACACACCAAAGTATCCATAACTGAGAACATTATAAAACATATTTTTGGATGACCTAAAATAAAGCGGGAAGGGTTTGGTGGGGAGAAGGTATGTACACAGAAAATTGTTCTCTTTAAAGTAACACTAAAAGCATAATTTTTCAGCTGTATTTAACCTTGGTTCAAAATACATCCATGTGAAAGAAACATCAGTTGCTCAAGACTGCAGAGTTTACAAAGCCTTAAGCACAATGGGGCCAAGAGGGGACCACCGATTCCACCATCTCTCAACCTCAGAGTTAAGGTTGTGTGTAATTTTTTTTTTTTTTTTGGTAAACTGAAATCTTAACAAGTAACACTGCAATGAAAAACCGGAAAGTGCATGACAAGCTACCTGCTGCCATTGTTACAGCGTCAGCAGCAGCAACATCCATAGAAATGCTAGTTCAGAAATGTATTGTTACGGTCGTGTCACCCAAGTCCACGTGAAGCTGATCCCATGTGATGAGAGGGTCAGCAGCACTCTGAGAACATCTGCAGCCTCCTCAGTGGGAATTTTGGAGACAAAGCTTTGTGAAGACAAGAGTAATGCATGTTTTCTGTTTGGGTAATGAACATCGGGTTGGGTTCCTAACCCCACAAGAAAGTAAAGGAAATCCAGCCATATCTTTTGTGTACAAGTATGTGTTTCATACGCTTTAAAATCTGAAGTCCATGACCCAAATGTATCTTCATTTTCTATCCATGTTTTTAAAGCAATAAAAGTCCAGCCACATAAAACAAAAATACCTTGAAGCCTACCTTTAAAAAATGAAAAGTGGCTCAACTTTGTTTTGCTATATAAAACCAGGGAGGAGAAGGTTACTCACACAGATTTTGTGAATCTAAATATTTTGGCCCAGACTGGGAAAACTTGTGGTTAGGGGGAAAAGAAGTCATGCACCAGTTCATTTTCTCCTTAAGCACTTAAATACACCCATTGTATTCAGAATACGGGTATGGCCATCATGCCACTCTTCTGAATGATCATTTTACATGGAGAGAGAAGGTCCAAAATGCACTCATACATGTGAACTACAAAAGGTACAGAAAACAAAGAGTCTTACCTTGGCACCATGCAACGTTTGACTTTGATCAAAACATGACAGTTACACACTGCTGACACACCAGAACGATGTGTCTCGATCACTAGCTGAGTGAGGCAGCCACGCACATCAAGAGCTGTGGTCTTACTCTACAGATTACAAGGACAGTAACTGAGGAGCGGTTCCACAGAATGTCAGCTACACCACAGTAACTGCCATTGGTATGGGCTCAAATCAGCTGTACAAGCACGTTACTCTCTCAGAGAAGCGGGCTGTTTACCTCACACTACTGAAAGTTAAAAGCACATCTATATGCAATGACTAAACCATTTCCATCTCACTCCTATTTCAAACTTACATGAGCTCTTGTAATTTGTTAGATGACCCGCTATAATGACAGGATCATTTTAATGGAATCTAGTGGTAAAAAAAGATCAAGTACAAATGAATAAATAAATACTAACGTTTTCATAATGGAAGAACATCTCTAACTATGGAATGTCTCTGCATAGACTATGTGGGATAAGAAATATATTAAAATCAAAGCAAGTGCCCGATACTTCAACAGCTGCTATCTATGGAAGCACTGAGTATATGAGGAATGCAAAATAAAGCACTGTTCATGAAAGGAGCTTCATCCAGTGATGCCAACTATAAAACTTAATGTAATGGGGGTAGGGAGGTGGAAACAACAGCAGCACTTGAGCTTAATATACCACAAACATTTAGAAGCCATTTAGAAGCAGTATCCCAAAGTGCTTGTATAGGTACAAATGAATAATCAGATACCTAAAAGCCTTTTAACAACTGGGATTACCCAATGTCTATGTTTACATGAGGCCTTCATACAGATACAGCTTTTAAACAGCTTGGAATTAGATATGCTATAATTATCAACATTTAGATATTCCTGACACTATCCCTTTAACTGTTTGGAATGACCTTCTGTATTTGTTAAACCATTTAATGCTATGTATATTAAAAAAATAATAATCTATGAGCAATGAATGAAACTGAAAAAGTTACGTAGAAAAATATGGTATTAACACACAACTAGCAAGCATCCCCAGCTTTTCTGTTGCCAAGACAGACCTTTCTTAAAAAGTTCACAGACTTCTATAAAGTGAAGGATACTGCTGCACTGTGAATCAAAAAACAGATTTTAAGAATTTATTAAGTTCTTTTCACTGTTAGTGAATTACTGGCATATTTAGAGAATGTGCAATTAACCTTAATATACTGATAGATGTGTTTCTCTTTGAAAGAAGAGTTTTAGGAGCTTCAACTGTGAAACATTTCAGAAGAACCTTCCCATTTAAGTTTCCTTCTGGTATATATCAGATCCATGTAGATTCTTCTTGTTCCGTTAGTTCACGTTTTGTCTACATCAAAAGTATATATTCCGAACATCAATGCCACCAAGTAAGATAGTGAATGACTTGAAAACATAAAAAAGGAAAGCAAGCAAAGATGTTAGATGTCTTAAAGAATTAAGGCCAGATTTAGAAAAAAGTATTATCAGCCCCTGAATTTCTAACGGATTTTAAATACATTTTCAGTAATACAGAATCTTAAGGATTGACTAGGAAAAGAATGAAAAACAGACTGTCTGCACAGGTGAGCTCCATGTCATTTCCCCCACCTCACCCCTCCCCAATTACTGGGCACAGTGGGGATTCTGGAAGTGACACTTAGTGTTAATTCCCAAGATGTGTTCTCCTTCCTGAGATTCTGACCAATATTGACAGGCTTTAATTGTTAAAATAACACTTGTAGAAGATCCTCTCTGGCTGTGGTCTGAGGGAGCATGGTTCTGTGCAGAGCCATGCAACATTCTTGAGACAGCAAGAAGCCATTCAACCACAGAATGGCCTGCACAGAAATGTACAGCCAGAAAAACCTGAAGGACTTTTTACTTCCAACAAAAGAGCTGGAAGTGAAAAGCTACAGTTCAAGAACATGCACAGCTATCACCTGGACACCCAGAAAGTCTTGCAATCCCAATCAAAAGCAACCCAACTCAGCAACTAGAATTGTGTGTGGCAGACAGACAAACCATGGGCTATCTCCTCACACCTTCAGCAGAAAAGGAGTATCACAACTTCTTAAGACAGTGTCAGAGACCGTTTGCCTGTGGTAAGGGCACTGGGCAGGGTAGAAAAAGGTGGCAGAGTTTATCACCATCTGGGTGATGGCTGTTGGCTTAGATGGCTCTCCCCAAATGGGAAGAAATCAAAAGCAGCATTTCTGTAATGTTCAAGTGCTGTTAATGAGACTGTTGTTAATGTAACTCTAACTTGCCGGTTTACCAATAGTAAATTCAATATTCAGAAGCTCGAGATTTCAGCTCATGAAATACACGGGTTGGAGAGGGAAGTTAGTGTATGCAATATTGTCTCAAGTCAGCACTAAAATAACAACAAAAATACTAACACTAGTGGGTAGGGGATCTTACTTCCTTAGAGCATCACAGTTCACATCAACAGTTCTTTTTTAAACAAAACTAAGCACATTTCTTTTTAAAGAGTTATTAACATGGCCTTAGCATACTGTCTCTGCTTAAATTACCTAGATTTAAAAAGCCTCTTTTTAAAAATCAGAGTATACGTAAAAGAACATGATTTAACTGTCTTTCTCTATTTGGTCTATCAAAATTGTAGATTCTGGTCCACTAAGCATAAGGCTCAGCTGTTGTACATACACCACCTCAGCTTCTGGAAGAGGAGGAAAAGAAAGAAAAAGGAAAATAACCTGTAAGATTCTCACAAAATTCAAGGAAAGTCACATGCATGAAGAAGCCAATTGCTCTTTGTTTCTACCTTACTCCTTTCTAATACAGATATTTTTTATGAAAAGGGCCATCTTTTGTCTTTACTACACAGCAGTGGGGCACATGTAAGCACCTGAAGTAGCATCAACTGCTGCAGAGACATATGGGCAAGCAGGAGAGACCTGGTGGTCCAGAAAAGGGCTGCAGCCCCCTTAGCACTTGTCACCCTGGAGGAAGTGTCACTCTGCAGCACCCGCTCACGTGCATGTCCCATTCAGCATACGGCTGCACAAGCCCCTGTCTGCACAGGCTCGACTGCAGCACCGCGCCGTGCCTCTGTGGTACTTGAGGTGGTACTTTAGAACCAGACAAGGAAACCAACTTGTGAAATCCTTTAATTTCTATGACACTAAAACAGTAAACAGGGTAAAAGGTATCAGAGGAACAGGGCCAGAGATAAACATCACATCACAGACAGTAAACAAAGCTTCCTATGAATGCAAAAACTGTTACTCGTACAGTAACCAATACTATTGTTTTTTAGCTTAAAGTGATAAGTATGTGTGCTTTATGCTTAGAAATCCCACAACATTACAGTTCTGCCACTGCATTTAGTATTGTGCTACCAACACAGAATAAAGCCAAGAAATGGCTAACTTAAAACACTTAGTTTACATCTACTTTTTGGTCTTGTGTGATATCTAGTTGAAGATGGAAGCATTTATGTGCTTTTTGCCTCATAAGAAGTGAGGCAGATGTTAATGTTACTAAGATCAGCTGTATATACCTTGAAGGTATAGACCACCTGACTCTACATGAGTCAAAATACTAGGAATGTATTGTCAATATCCATTAATGAATTACCAGTTGCTTGTATTTAAGTGACCATATGCTTCTGTGAAAAGTATATAGTGACCTGTATCTTACACATAGTATATTTGTAGCATTGTATCTGTAAAGTTTTGCATAAGCATGTAATTTTCAAGGCCAAAGGCATATTTTAATGTGAACAGTGTCACAATATAAACAGCTGATTTTAAAACAAAACACTGTCAGTAGTTGCACAGGGTAATTCTGTATTTCTCGTCCACCTTGGAAACTACTCAGCATCTTAACCATCTTCCATGTTTCAGTGTAAAATCTTCACTAAGGTAGCCTTAACCTGTACATATCTCTGACTGCAGAATCCAGCAGAAGGGGTGGGAACAGGCAAGGCTATAACTTTTGAAACAGTTATAAAGCCTTGCCTGAAACTTGTGTGCTTATCAGCAGGAACTGTCTCTGCTCAATTTAAGTAACTGCCCAACTTGCTTTCAGAGGCCACATACACATCATAATCCCATCTTTTTCTGTGTTCTTGGGTCACTGATGCCAGGACAAACATCTCTCCAAAAGCATGAAAAGCAAGACCTTTGCTGGTTCACACTCCCTACATTTATTCCTTACACTCTGTGAAACTGAAGAAATTAGTTTATTTTAATAACTGTCTTTAAATTGTAATAGAAATATTTTAATAAAACTAACTAAGCCTTACACACCACAATTCACCAGCCCCATTAAGACACGAGGACAATTTTGGTCACACAATCACTTGCATGGACAAGTGGATTCATTTCAGTTATTTTTAACTATAATGCTAATACATAAGGCTACAGAGAATACCTGAATGATGACCCTAATAATAAATCTCCCAATATTTTATATGTAAACATTTTAAAACAACTTTTAATTACAGCTCCCTGTTCTTGATTGAAGAACTTTGACTCAGATTTCTCACTAAAATGTCAGCATTAAACTCAAACAACAGAAAAAATGCTTGTAAAATGAAATCAAGCACTTGTAAAGTGAAATCAAGCAATTTTACTTTGTCTTCCAAGACTCAGTACAACACATCAACAGTCAGTTTAATAAGCCTTGAATTTATACTAATCACACACACAAAAAAGAGTAACTCTCTAGTATCATATTTACTACAGCAATATTTACATTATGCCCCAGCTCCAGTCAGAAAAGGCAGCTGCAAAAAAACTGAGAAATCTTCATGTATACTGGAGTTTAATTTCTGAAGCACTCTTTGGGGGATGGGGGGGAAAGCTCACATTCACACACACAGCAGCAAGGTCTAAAGGCCAGAGCAGTCATCTCAGTACAGCCAAAGTTTCTCACTGAGAGTTTATCTTTTTCAGAACCACACTGGAGAGCTAGTTGTCACTGCTTGATCACGTGTAAGACTTCAAACCACAGACAGACATGCTTGCTTTACAGAAACAGGAAATAAACACAAACATTATCTGACTCACTACATAATGGGCACACACTGAAGATGTCCCCATTCCAATCTGTTTGAAGATTACTTGTGGCAGAGCAGGACAGAAGTGCAACCAGACTTTGAATATTTACTTGGGTTTTGGTCAGTGGGATTTTTTTCTTTACTATAAACTGCTTGAAGGATTCCTAAGGCTGCAGTAATACTAAGAAAAGCGATGTTGCCACCCACCAATGCCATCCCAAATCTAAGGCCTCTGAGCAGTTAAAATGTAACACCGCAGGAATTCATACCACCAAGACTAAACACGCAAGTTCTACTTACCAAGCCATCTATGTCCTCTCCATAAGCTTAGAATTTAATTTACGGTATCTACACATATAAGCCTATATACATGTTCATGTGTACATTAAAAAACAGGTTAGTGAAAGACACTGGATTATGCTGCTGAACAGAAATCCTGGTAACTAGAGTATAAATTTAGAGAAATAATTTACTTAAAATTAAAGAAGATTGTAAAAAACTGCAATTGCAGCCTCCTAGGCCTGTGCTGCTTGCATTGATTACAAGTACTGCTTATACACAGTAGTTCATAAAGAATTTTACAGGGATGTACTTGGTAGGGTAAGTGACCTCCATGGCACAACAGCTTACAGAACTGCAAGAGCTGTGACAGGGGGTCTACACAGCTTTTTACAAAGCATACTAGGCTCAGATTTAACACTGAAGTCTTCATCTTGTACTTCACTCTATTCAGTAAGACATTGTCTGACTACCAGTAAAGTAACTGGCATTTATAGCTAAGAACAGAAAGCTGAAAACGCTGGCCTTCCGAGAAAGCTTCATGACGTTAGACTATGAACAGCTTACTGTATCCAGCATGAAAGGAAATGTGATCTCTAACAGTTACTGTCATTTTTAACACGTTCTTAGTGAAACTGTTTTATCTGCTGTCAAGAATACTTACTCCAGGTAGTTTACATTTCCAGTAAGGGTCACATTGGGCTTCAAGTGTATCTTTTTTTTTTTTTCTTTTTAACCAAGTCCCAAAGTTGTTATTTACAGCTGTGTCTGTATAACATAGGAAGTACTGTGCATTCAAATAGTAGCAGGTTTGTACCTAAAGATGTGAGACTGTCAACAAATAAAAAGGAATGCATTATTCTCTTCAGCTTCCAGTCTTCAAGGCACCTCCTGCATTAACTTACTGGGAAATAAACACGCAGACCAAAAGTTCACTGGAAAGAGAAGAATCTGATATACCTCACTTCCTCAGAAGCACACAGCATCAAAAAATGAGACAAGGTTGGACCCAAATTATCAAACAACACCAATATAAAAATGTTGATGAGATGACAGGAATGCCATGAGGTTGATGTTTTCAGCTCTGTTGATTGCAGGTGATTGTTAAATCACAGTGTTTTCTGATGCCCATTTGCAGACGGCTTTGTCTCTGACTCTCTTGGATTGTTTGACAGGTGAAGTTTATCTAATCCTGCAAAACATGACACAACACAGAAAAACTGAGATTCTGCCATGTTTCATACACACAGGTATTCAAAATAATACCACACAAACCAACTTCTACTTTGTGCTTAAGGACTTTGCTAAGATCAGAATTGACATTCTACCTCAGGTAGGAGTTACTTCTAGGAAATTCCCTCAGTTACGTTTTAAGTGAGGAAAGTCCATTGCAATGGACAAGCATGGAAGCAAGAGAAGCCTAACTTCACATTGCTTAAATGGCAGACTTAGATGTTAAGAACCACAAAAGACTTCCAATCCTTTACTCTGTCAACCTAGAAAGACCAAAATAATTACCTAAAATATTTCTTTGAAACTATAGCATCTTTCTGAAAAGCATCCATTGCTGACTTTAAGATCACTGGTGATGACCATATCACCTCTTTAAACTGTTTATATGACTAAGTATTTTTAGGCCTACATTATTACTGATTTGTTTACAACCATTTGCATAGTTCTCTGAGTGCTAATTAAAATCCTGCCCCAGGAAAGCAGTTAAATTA